CAAATAGTAACTATGGAGATGAGGTAATAAAATAAAAATCAAGTTGAAAAAACAAAAAAATTTGGTAAACGAAAACCTCTCGTCGAGCATTGGCTATTATATTATTTCCCTGTCAATGTTCCCATCTTCATTAAAAGGCGTAAGATGACGAAAACAAGATCTTAAAGAATGTATCTATATACTACTAACACTCCAAGATTGTTTGTTTGCTTATTTTCTCAGTCAAAAAATCATTCACACTACCGTTCGCATTCTTTACGAAACTTCTTACTTCACTTTTTTGAAAAATGAAATGGTCTTTCCTTTTACTCCCAATCAACAATCAAATATCTTTTCTTGAATTATGAATAACACGAATGGAATAGAAATATTAATTAAATTATCTCAAAATAAACCTTCATTTTAGTGCAATATTGAAATTAGCTTGAATTCTTCATAACCTCTGAATAGTGAGTGACCCAACAGGTCACGGGTGGTCTAGTTGTTTATTAAAACTACCACGGTCTAGCTATTTCAGGAGATTACTGACAGTGACATGAACATTGACATTCATGAAAATCAAACAACATGCAGTTATAACTTATGCAAACAGTAACCATGACAATAAACATAATTTAACAAAAGCTGGTGCACATTCTTCAGCTAGATATGTTAAGCTAATGAAACCCTTGATCATCTGTCAGTTATTCTTCATTTGGGAAGTTATATTCACTCTAAAGTCATAAGAAATCAGAAAAGATAATTTACTCATCTTACAAAGGAAAGTATCCATCTCTAATACCATGAAGAAGCTATAACTTGTGCCAACAACCAGATTCTGAAACATTTTGCTTAGACTACACTCACAGTACAACTGTTTTTGTGGCAAGTTTTGTATTTCATGTTGAGTTAAGCCAAAAATGTAACTAAAAAGTAGGAAAAATAGGAATTTTGCCTAAAAATAAAAGAAATGTAGGGAGCCTGTAAATAATAAACCAACTGCATGACATTTAGCACAAGCCTACTAGGTAGTACTTAATTTCTGTTTTCATATTTAATTCAGTATTTGTATCATATTTTAGTCTGTGAACTTTCCAAAATTTTGTTGTAAGACACTTATGATAAAACATTTAAATTATTTCCTTTCATTTTAGTTTCAATTTCTTTACTATTGATGATAAAGTTCCATTTTATATACACCATGTCAGTTTTAACTAAATTCCTATTTATTAGCATAGTTCTTTTGATACTTTATTTTGCCTACTGCAGTAGTTACCACTTCTAGATATAAATCATAAAAAACACAGCAAAAACTGATAAAAGATTCATCAGTGAACTAGGACCTAAACATTACCTTTGCCAGGCTAGGTACTGTGATTTTTTTCAAACAATATTCCAAGACAAGATATATCTAATAATTATAGGGTTATTCCATGCCAAATCACCCAAAATCTTCCCAGGTGACCACCTCTGATTTCTATAAAATTTGCTCATTGTACATCTATGTAAATGATGTGCAAAATTTCAGTAAGAAATTCTAATTACTTATGAAATTACAGTCAACTGAAGTTGAAGGGGGTAGCACAGTTTTAGCCGTGACATAGCAGCTCATAGAACGGCTTCAAGTTTTTGTTCTTTTCTTCAAGTACAAACTTTTAGCTCATAGGTTCATCATCTCTTGACCGATTTGAGATCTTACAGTTTTGGATGAAGGAAGTCAAACCCTTTCAATTGATGTACTTGACCACACTCAAGGTCTCATAGATTAATTTACTCTAATCCTTCCTAAAAGAATTTCAATTTGAAGGTAGGCTGTTAGAGATCTTCTATGAGAAATAAAATAAAATTGGGTATATATACAGCCCACGCTTGGTATTGCTGGCCACAAAAATATAGATAATAAAAAGGTAAGAAAAAGATCTCATAGATTAATTTACTGCAAGCCTATCTGTAAGAATTTCAAATGGCATGGCTAGTGAGGATTCCCTTTTCTTTCAATTGTGACCACTAACTTATGACAGAGGGTTTTCAAATGGTAGCTTTTTCATTTTTAAAAGATATCAGGCTGAAATTTGCTGTACTACATGTTTGGGACATGGGGAATCAGAATTTGAGCTCAGTTTGTCAATATATTTTATCTGTTTTAGAGATATAGACCCCTTAATTTGGACTTTGGTTCCTTACAGAATAATATTTTTCAGATTTATAGGTAGCACTACCACCTGGTTATTCATCACAGACACCAAATATGGTTTTATTTGACAACCATACATATAAGTGATTGTACAGATTAAAGTTAATCTGAATCAAGTCAATTGTTAAGCTCTGAAGTCCAAATACGAGACAAAATACAAAAACCGTGTTCTTGTTCCAGAGGTGGTTTGGCCATGTGAGCAATAACCTAGCATAACAGGTTTTTAATATAATTCAACTACATATTTTGGCTCTATTTGTACAAGATTTCAACCATGTATCTTAATGCTTTCACTCTTAAATGATTTCAATTGAAAGTATATTTTTGGAAATAAGTATAGATTTTATTTTTATTTAAGGATGAACTTATTGAAGTTTTAAGCATTACTTGATTTCTCTGGTATATTATTTTAAGACAACAGAATGAGGCAACACAAATTTAAGATTTGGAAAAACAGCATAGGCTCCAATCAACAATTTCATTTTTATAACATTAACGAAATGATTTGCTTATGGAATAAGCAGTAGTGGAGATTGCACAATTTTAAAAGGGTATTTAATAATTTTCAGAAAAAATAATAAGTAAGTTTAAGTTTTTCTCAAGCATTTGTGAGCAGGAACGGCTTTGAAGGATCAAATAGTCCCTTGTTGTCCATATGTTAACATCTCTTTAACAATAACAGCTTAAGTTAACACATTCCACCTTCTACTGTGTATTTTTTCTTTATTAACAATATATAAGAAAGAAAAAATATTTTTCTATATTTTTAAAACATTAAAATAATTAATTTTCATAATTATCAAACTGAGAAACAACGAAAACAATTACCAAAGCAGCTGATTATCACATTCACAGAGTAAGCTTTATATGTAATATTAGAATAATAACTCCACAACTGTCAGAACCTACACTAACTACTAGAACTAGCACTGTAGCAGTAGCACAGTACACTATCTGAACTTGTTACTGTACAGTATAACAGAGAAGTGCTGACTCGTAATCGTTCACGATGACCGAAGGTCCCTAAGCCTAGTTGAACCAAGCTTACAACCACTCAGATTTTGAATTAAGCGCGATATTCAAATATTGTTACTAATGGAATAAAAAAAAAGTTCTACAAATATCTTGAACCATACCAGTTTAAAGGAACGTTTAATCCACAATTAATTGACAAATATGTTGATCCTTGATGTTTCTTTTTCCCTTCCGGTGGATAATCAGCTACGTAGTGTAAAAGCACTACACCAAGATGGCGCCGAACGATCACGTGACTAGTACTCTACTTTACACCAATTTTTTTTTGAACGTATGTCAACCTATCAGCACATTGAATTCAGTCACGTGAATAGTCACAATCAAGAACCAACCAAAACGCGTACGGACAACTTCTTTCTATCCCCTAACGATCCCCTTCCCCACAGTGACCCCATGACAACTGGTTACTATGGGAACAGGGATGCTAATATTATTCATGAAATGGTCCCTAACAGTGTTTTCCAGATAATACAATGTTGGTCCCTTTTGAAGAGCTACTTATAATATGTTTATTACATCCAGCAACTTATAAATATATTCAAGTTCAATCAGTGGTTTTTACAATTCCCCGTTTCCTTTGAGTCTTAACATTGCCCAAACAAATATTTATCATAGTACATAAACTTCTAGTTGACATTCATGTTATTATTTGTAATTATAGTTTTGTGTTTACTGTGGGAATATGCTGAAGATGGAATGTATATATTCCGAAACGTTCATTAAATATACTGTTATTCGTCATTTCTGTGGTTATATTGTTTAGCACTTCTCAACTGGGTGAATGGTTCACCCAGGGGCTAATGAGATCATAATCAGGGCAAGTGAGAATGAAAGGTTGAATAGGAAAGTAAATTAGTATTATCAATTATACAACAAATTCAAGAGCAAAAAAGCAATTAGTTATTATTATTTATTCTAGTTGTAGTTTGATAAATACGTTTATTTTTATGTTGTAATCATTCTAGTTGTACTTTGATGTATATTTAAGACATAATAAAGAAATTTGCATTTTAATTTAGTGCTTTTGTATTTTTTCAAATTGGGGTGAGTTTGTTATTGTGAAAATGTATAGGGGTGAATGATATTGGAAAAGGTTGACAAGCACCGACTATGATCCATTATTAACTTACGAACATGACAGAATATATTTCTACAAAGATCTTTGTGCATTTCATTTGACGATTTCAAAGTAAACACATTTGACTGTTATCAAACTCTAGCTTTACTGTGAAATTAAGAAATAAAAATCGTATTGTTTTGTTCAATAAAATGATCCTTCAAAGAAATTACACTTACATCAGGAAAATATCTCTATTTTATACAATGATATCTACCGCTTTCTACCTAATTAGATTGTATTGTTGTGTTATAAATCTTTTAAAGGATAATTATTAAAACTGAAAATATTTTTGAAATCTTAAAATCATGTAATTCGGGTATACAAATATTCCGTTTTTGATATTCTTATTTTATTTTAAGTGAACATAAACAGTTACAGTGTTCAGTAACAAGTAACGTCATAAACCTTGTATAGCAAAATATTCCATAACGTTAAAAATGTCATAGTACTTTGTCATGAAAAGAGTAACGTAAAGGTTTGAATCAATTTATTATTTATAGCTTATTTGATGTATTTCGACGTCACAGAAAAACAACAACAATGAAGTAGTAATATGAGCAAGATGATCAACCTCTAAGAACCCCCGGGTTGGTTCAGCGGAAGAACAGGGGACTTATAACATTTAAAATCGGGTTTCGATATCCGCCGTCTTCATAACACAGATACCGTACTGTGCAGCCAAAGCTACAACTATATGTGCACTGTTCACGACGCACAAAGCTACACAATTCGCTATCTGTGCTCTGTTCAATGCACGCAAAAATACACAATGGGCCATCCGTGCTTTGCTCACCGCAGATACAGAAGTCGGATTTTTGGCGTTATAAGCCCCCCCCCCCCGACTGACCGCTGAGCCATCGGGCGAGGGGAGAGGGGTATACTTTAAGGTAAGTTGCTGTAGATTATTTGAATATTTAAAAATTATTCTGAGAACTGATAAAACTTTAAATATATTGCTAAAATGTGTAGCAGAGTAAAAAAAATTATTTGAAATTAAAAAGACTTGAATTTAATAGTTTTGTTTACCAGTGTAAGCTTGGGAGCTTATAACGCTAAAATATGGGGTTCGATTCCTCGCGGTAAACACATCGAAGGTTGCCCATTTTGTAGATATGCGCTAGAAAAACATAAACAAATATGCTAGCAAGTAAAAATTCTTTAATTATGAGTATGATGTCACAACAAAACTTTCTACTTCTGTATAAGGCTTATATTTTAATTATAAGTTGTGTTTTCTGCATATTTTTTCGTCCTATTTATTAGTTAATACTTCTGTCTTACGTGTTTTTCGATAAACTCTGTCTTTT